AGGACAGGCCTAACAAAGAAAACAACAGAACGCCACTAGCGGTCACTTTCAGCCCCCAACTAAAACCCCTCCAACGCATTATTAAGGATCTACAACCTATCCTAAAGGATGACCCAACACTCTCACAAGTCTTGGGAGACAAGCCAGTCCTTGCCTACAGACAGCCCCGCAACCTGAAGCAAATACTCACCAACAACCACATACCACACAACAGAACCACTAACCCAGGAACTTATCCTTGCAGCAAAGCCCGTTGCCAATTGTGCCCACATATCTATTCAGGGGACACCATCACAGGGCCTAATAACATCAGCCACACTATCAGAGGCCGTTCACCTGCACATCCACCAATGTGATATATGCCATCATGTGCCAGCAATGCCCCTCTGCCATGTACATTGGTCAAACTGGACAGTCTCTACGTAAAAGAATAAATGGACACAAATCAGATGTCAAGAATTATAACATTCATAAACCAGTCGGAGAACACTTCAATCTCTCTGGTCACGCAATCACAGACATGAAGGTCGCTATCTTAAAACAAAAAAACTTCAAATCCAGACTCCAGTGAGAAACTGCTGAATTGGAATTCATTTGCAAATTGGATACTATTAATTTAGGCTTAAATAGAGACTGGGAGTGGCTAAGTCATTATGCAAGGTAGCCTGTTTCCTCTTGTTTTTTCCTACCCCCCCCCCAGATGTTCTGGTTTAACTTGGATTTAAACTTGGAGAGTGGTCAGTTTGGATGAGCTATTACCAGCAGGAGAGTGAGTTTGTGTGTGTATGGGGGTGGGGGGGATGTGAGAAAACCTGGATTTGTGCAGGAAATAGCCCGACTTGATTATGTAAAGAGTTGTCACTTTGGATGGGCTAGCACCAGCAGGAGAGTGAATTTGTGTGGGGGGGTGGAGGGTGAGAAAACCTGGATTTGTGCTGGAAATGGCCCACCTGATGATCACTTTAGATAAGCTATTACCAGCAGGACAGTGGGGTGGGAGGAGGTATTGTTTCATATTCTCTGTGTATATATAAAGTCTGCTGCAGTTTCCACAGTATGCATCCGATGAAGTGAGCTGTAGCTCACGAAAGCTCATGCTCAAATAAATTGGTTAGTCTCTAAGGTGCCACAAGTACTCCTTTTCTTTTTTAGAAATTTAAGTGACACTAAGCAGAGATAATGGAAACAAAAAATGGTTACAAATAAAACAAAAGTATAATCATGCTTCCTAGTGATTAAAACTTAACTCCACAGGCCACAATCCTTGACTAAGATAAGTTTATTACCTAAAGCAACCTTTCAGCATCACCCACTCCACACTGTTAGGGATTCATGGTTCATGGAATGCAAAGAGCTTTCTTTGTTTCCTCAGTGATAGATAACCAAAATGTCTTTTTGCTTCTCCTTATATTCCCCAAAGTTTATTGTGTTTGACACCAGTATCAGTATGAACCCTTGAGGTTCAGCCCCCAGTGTCTTCCCATGCTGATTCACATCCTCATGTTCATTTGGTCCTCGTGTTTACCTCCTATGCAAATGAACTGTCCATTATCTCTGGCATCACTGTGCTCAATTTACATCAGAGATAGGGAGATAACTATCCTCCCTCTTGTCTGGAAGAAAACCTGTTTCTCCCTTTGTTTGGTTACAGACTTTAAAGTATAAAGTATCCTTAATTCCTTACATAGTATTAATATATACATTTCACAGTGACATTAATGAGCAGTGTGTCACCAGCTTTCATCTGATATCTTATATGACATTCTTTATAGCTAGGTATCATCATACCAAAGCGTTAGGTACAGTGAGTTTGTCAGGCTTGATAGGAAGTGCTGTTACATTACATTGAACCCTTTGCCAGTAGGCACTGACGGGCTCTATGGTCACAGAATTTCTCAGTTTTTTTACTTCCCCCTAAAAACTGTAAAATAGTCACTAGATGTTTTAATAGCTCTTTCCGGGCTTACTGCTGCAGAGCCTCATTTTGGCTTCTATGTCTCTAAAGTTGACACTGATGATTGTTTAGAAAGGGAAATTATTGTGCACTTCAGCAATTTTAAGAAATCTCTTGCACAACACTTCATTTTAGGTCATATTTTAGAAATACTGTACACACGTGGCGTGATTCAGAGTGTAATTTTAGGGCATAAGCAGCAATGAGCTACTGAGAAATGCAACATGGAAATAGTTACAAAATGAGGATAGGTATTGAACAGTGTATTCCTTATCTTTTAAGATAAAATATAGCAGAAATGCGTGAGTGACACCTTTTATTGGAACAACTGAAAGCAAAGACTGACAAACTTTCATCAGACTATTTTCAGAGTAGCAGCTGTGTTAGTCTGTATTCGCAAAAAGAAAAGGAGTACTTGTGGCACCTTAGAGACTAACAAATTTATTTGAGCATAAGCTTTCATGAGCTACAGCTCACTTCATCGGATGCATTTAGTGGAAAATACAGTGGGGAGATTTATATACATAGAGAACATGAAACAATGAGTGTTACATACCCACTGTAACCAGAGTGATCACTTAAGGTGAGCTATTACCAGCAGGAGAGCGGGGGGGGGGGGGGGAACCTTTTGTAGTGATAATCAAGATGGGCCATTTCCAGCAGTTGACAAGAACGTCTGAGGAACAGTAAGGGGTGAGGGGTGGGGATAAACATAGGGAAATAGTTTTACTTTGTGTAATACCCATCCACTCCCAGTCTCTATTCAAAGCCCGTTGCCAACTGTGTCCACATATCTATTCAGGGGACACCATCATAGGGCCTAATCACATCAGCCACACCATCAGAGGCTCATTCACCAGCACATCTACCAATGTGATATATGCCATCATGTGCCAGCAATGCCCCTCTGCCATGTACATTGGTCAAACTGGACAGTCTCTACGTAACAGAATAAATGGACACAAATCAGAAGTCAAGAATTATAACATTCAAAAACCAGTTGGAGAACACTTCAATCTCTGGTCACTCGATTACAGACCTAAAAGTGGCAATACTTCAACAAAAAAATTTCAAAAACAGACTCCAATGAGAGACTCTTGAATTGGAATTAATTTGCAAACTGGATACAATTAACTTAGGCTTGAATAGAGACTGGGAGTGGATGAGTCATTACACAAAGTAAAACTATTTCCCCATGTTTATCCCCCCCATCTAAAGATAGATGAAGTGGCTCAAAACAAGAAATAGACCAGATTTGTTTTGTATTCATTTTCTCCTCCCTCTCTCTGTGAAATCAACGGCCTGCTAAACCCAGTTTTGAGTTCTATCCTTGAGGTTTTGAGTTCTATCCTTGAGGGGGCCATTCAGTTTCTCGCAAAGCCACCCCCTTGTTGATTTTATTTCCCTGTAAGCCAACCCTGTAAGCCATGTCGTCAGTCACCCCCCCCTCCGTCAGGGAAACGGCAGACAATCATTCCGTGCTTTTTTTCTGTGCAGACACCATACCACGGCAAGCATGGAGCCCACTCAGATCACTTTGGCAATTAGGAGCACATTAAACACCACACGCATTATCCAGCAGTATATGCAGCACCAGAACCTGGCAAAGCGAAACCGGGCGAGTAGGCGACTTCAGCGCGGTGACAAGAGTGATGAGGACATGGACACAGACTTCTCTCAAAGCACGGGCCCCGGCAATGTGGGCATCATGGTGCTAATGGGGCAGGTTCATGCGGTGGAACACTGATTCTGGACCCGGGAAACAAGCACAGACTGGTGGGACCGCATAGTGTTGCAGGTCTGGGACGATTCCCAGTGGCTGCGAAACTTTCGCATGTGTAAGGGCACTTTCATGGAACTTTGTGACTTGCTTTCCCCTGCCCTGAAGCGCAATAATACCAAGATGAGAGCAACCCTCACAGTTGAGAAGCGAGTGGCAATAACCCTGTGGAAGCTTGCAATGCCAGACAGCTACCGGTCAGTCGGGAATCAATTTGGAATGGGCAAATCTACTGTGGGGGCTGCTGTGATTCAAGTAGCCAACGCAATCAAAGATCTGCTGATATCAAGGGTAGTGACCCTGGGAAATGTGCAGGTCATAGTGGATGGCTTTGCTGCAATGGGATTCCCTAACTGTGGTGGGGCCATAGACGGAACCCATATCCCTATCTTGGCACTCATTTGAGCTCATGCTCAAATAAATTGGTTAGTCTCTAAGGTGCCACAAGTACTCCTTATCTTGGCATTGGAGCACGAAGCCGGCAAGTACATAAACCGCAAGGGGTACTTTTCAATAGTGCTGCAAGCACTTGTGGATCACAAGGGACGTTTCACCAACATCAACGTGGGATGGCCAGGAAAGGTACATGACGCTCGCATCTTCAGGAACTCTGGTCTGTTTCAAAAGCTGCAGGAAGGGACTTTATTCCCAGACCAGAAAATAACCGTTGGGGATGTTGAAATGCCTATAGTTATCCTTGGGACCCAGCCTACCCCTTAATGCCATGGCTCATGAAGCCGTACACAGGCAGCCTGGACAGTAGTCAGGAGCTGTTCAACTACAGGCTGAGCAAGTGCAGAATGGTGGTAGAATGTGCATTTGGACATTTAAAAGCACGCTGGTGCAGTTTACTGACTCGGTTAGACCTCAGCGAAACCAATATTCGCATTGTTATTACTGCTTGCTGTGTGCTCCACAATATCTGTGAGAGTAAGGGGGAGACGTTTATGGCGGGGTGGGAGGTTGAGGCAAATCGTCTGGCTGCTGGTTACGCACAGCCAGACACCAGGGTGGTTAGAAGAGCACAGGAGGGCGCGGTGCGCATCAGAGAAGCTTTGAAAACCAGTTTCATGACTGGCTAGGCTACGGTGTGAAAGATCTGTTTGTTTCTCCTTGACGAAACCCCCCCGCCCCTTGGTTCACTCTACTTCCCTGTAAGCTAACCATCCTCCCCTCCTCCCTTCGATCACCACTTGCAGAGGCAATAAAGTCATGGTTGCTTGACATTCATGCATTCTTTATTAATTCATCACACAAATAGGGGGATAACTACCAAGGTAGCCCAGGAGGGGTGGTGGAGGAGAGAAGCACCAGGAGGGGTGGTGGAGGAGAGAAGCACCAGGAGGGGTGGTGGAGGAGGGAAGGACAAGACCACACAGCACTTTAAAAGTTTAAAACTTTAAAACTTATTGAATCCCAGCCTTCTATTGCTTGGGCAATCCTCTCGGGTGGAGTGGCTGGAGGCCCCCCCACCTTGTTCTTGGGCGTCTGGGTGAGGAAGCTATGGAACCTGGGGAGGAGGGTGGTTGGTTGGTTACATAGGGGCTGTAGCGGCAGTCTGTGCTCCTGCTGCCTTTCCTGCAGCTCAACCATATGCTGGAGCATATTGGTTTGCTCCTCCAGCAGGCTCGGCATTGAGTCCTGCCTCCTCTCATCATGCTGCCGCCATCTTTCAGGTTCAGCCCTCTCTTCAGCCCGCCACCTCTCCTCCCGGTCATTTTGTGCTTTCCTGCACTCTGACATTGTCTGCCTCCATGCATTCGCCTGTGCTCTGTCAGTGTGGGAGGACAGCGTGAGCTCAGAGAACATTTCATCGCGAGTGCGTTTTTTTCGCCTTCTGATCTTCGCTAACCTCTGGGAAGGAGAAGATCCTGTGATCCTTGAAACACATGCAGCTGGTGGAGAAAAAAAAAGGTACAGTGGTATTTAAAAAGACACATTTTCTAGAACAATGGGTACACTCTTTCACGGTAAACCTTGCTGTTAACATTACATACATAGCACTTGTGCTTTCGTTCCAAGGTCGCATTTTGCCTCCCCCCAGCGAGTGGCTAGCCCCTTCCTCTTCCCCCCTCCCCATGCCTAACAGCAGGGAACATATCTGTTCAGCCACAGGCAAACAGCCGAGCAGGAACGGGCACCTCTGAATGTCCCCTTAAGAAAAGCACCCTATTTCAACCAGGTGACCATGAATGATATCACTCTCCTGAGGATAATACAGAGAGATAAAGAACGGATGTTGTTTGAATGCCAGCAAACATACACTGCAATGCTTTGTTCTACAATGATTCCCGAGTACATGCTACTGGCCTGGAGTGGTAAAGTGTCCTTCCATGGTGGATGGAATAAGGCTGCCCTCCCCAGAAACCTTTTGCAAAGGGTTTGGGAATACATCCAGGAGAGCCGCGAATGCCTGGGCAAATGAACCATTAAACATGCTTGCTTTTAAACCATGTATAGTATTTTAAAAGGTACACTCACCAGAGGTACCTTCTCCGCCTGGCGGGTCCAGGAGGCAGCCTTGGGTGGGTTCGGGGGGTACTGGCTCCAGGTCCAGCGTGGGAAACAGTTCTTGGCTGTCGGGAAAACCAGTTTCTCCGCTTCCTTGCTGTGAGCTATCTACAACCTCATCATCATCATCTTCCTCATCCCCAAAACCTGGTTCCATGTTGCCTCCATCTGCATTGAAGGAGTCAAACAACATGGCTGGAGTAGTTTAGGGGAACCCCCTAAAATGGCATGCAGCTCATCAGAGAAGCGGCATGATTTGGGCTCTGACCCGGAGCGGCCGTTCGCCTCTCTGGTTTTCTGGTAGGCTTGCCTCTGCTCCTTAAGTTTCTTGCGGCACTACTTCGGGTCCCTGTTAAGGCCTCTGTCCTTCATGCCCTGGGAGATTTTGGCAAATGTTTTGGCATTTTGAAAACTGGAACGGAGTTCTGACAGCATGGATTCCTCTCCCCATATAGCGATCAGATCCTGTACCTCCCGTTCGGTCCATGCTGGAGCTCTTTTGCGATTCTGGGACTCCATTATGGTCACCTCTGCTGATGAGCTCTGCATGGTCACCTCTGCTGATGAGCTCTGCATGGTCACCTGCAGCTTGCCACGCTGGCCAAACAGGAAATTGAAATTCAAAAGTTCGCGGGCCTTTTCCTGTCTACCTGGCCAGTGCATCTGTGTCGAGAGTGCTGTCCCTTGCGGTCACAATGGAGCACTCTGGGATAGCTCACTGAGGCCAATACCATCTAATTTTGTCCACAGTACCCCAAATTCGACCCAGCAAGGCCAATTTCAGTGCTAATCCCCTTGCCGGGGGTGGAGTAAGGAAATGGATTTTAAGAGCCCTTTAAGTAAAAAAAAAAAGGGCTTTGTCGTGTGGACGGGTGCAAGGTTAAATCGATTTAACGCTGCTAAATTCGACCTCAACTCCTAGTGTAGCCCAGGGCTAGGAAAGCAGAGTAAGAAGCAGAATATATCCTAAGAGTTGACTGAGATTTTATAAATAGGTAAAGATTAAAGGGGCAGAGGGTAAGAAGGGGCAGATGTGAAAATAAATTCAAGTTTTTCACTAAATATTTTTTATTTTTCTGATTTATGTTGCAAGAGCCTTCATTTGCAGACCATGCCTTCTTCTGCGTCTGTGGTGCTGAGCTCACTGTACTACAGTAATAACTGCATATTGAACCAACTGATAATCACATTGTAGCCTACAGATATAGGTATTTGCTAGGCAAAGGTATGGGTATAAGTTAAGGCAGTAACACAATTAGCCTACAAGCCTCAAGGCATGTAAGACAATAGCTTAGCAAAACTAATCAAGGCCTAAGGCTCCAAAAGCCTTAGCATAAGCAGCTAACCAGGAGTAACCCTAGATATAAAAAGATATCAAACATAGAATACTGTAATAAACAAGCATGACTAAAATGCTGACACGTGAACCACAAGATGCCAGATGATATCAGCTTTAGATATATTAAGTTAGGAACTTCAGCAGATGTCTAATCACAAGCATACCAGGGTAACTAATTGATATATATGTGAATAAACTTGAGGTAAAAGGCCTAGTAACCTATAGGAGAAGGTTTCAGAGTAATAGCCATGTTAGTCTGTATTCACAAAAAGAAAAGGAGTACTTGTGGCACCTTAGAGACTAACCAATTTATTTGAGCATAAGCTTTCGTGAGCTACAGCTCACTTCATTGGATGCATACTGTGGAAAGTGTAGAAGATCTTTTTATATACACACAAAGCATGAAAAAATACCTCCTCCCACCCCACTCTCCTTCTGGTAATAGCTTATCTAAAGTGACCACTCTCCTTACAATGTGTATGATAATCAAGGTGGGCCATTTCCAGCACAAATCCAGGGTTTAACAAGAACGTCTGGGGGACAGGGTAGGAAAAAACAAGGGGAAATAGGTTACCTTGCATAATGACTTAGCCACTCCCAGTCTCTATTCAAGCCTAAGTTAATTGTATCCAATTTGCAAACAAATTCCAATTCAACAGTTTCTCGCTGGAGTCTGGATTTGAAGTTTTTTTGTTGTAATATAGCAACTTTCATGTCTGTAATCACGTGACCAGGCAGACTGAAGTGTTCTCCGACCGGTTAATGAATGTTATAATTCTTGACATCTGATTTGTGTCCATTTATTCTTTTACGTAGAGACTGTCCAGTTTGCCCAATGTACATGGCAGAGGGGCATTGCTGGCACATGATGGCATATATCACATTGGTGGATGTGCAGGTGAACGAGCCTCTGATAGTGTGGCTGATGTTATTAGGCCCTGTGATGGTGTCCCCTGAAAAGATATGTGGGCACAATTGGCAACGGGCTTTGTTGCAAGGATAGGTTCCTGGGTTAGTGGTTCTGTTGTGTGGTATGTGGTTGCTGGTGAGTATTTGCATCAGGCTAGGGGGCTGTCTGTAGGCAAGGACTGGCCTGTCTCTCAAGATTTGTGAGAGTGTTGGGTCATCCTTCAGGATAGGTTGTAGATCCTTAATAATGCATTGGAGGGGTTTTAGTTGGGGGCTGAAGGTGACGGCTAGTGGTGTTCTGTTATTTTCTGTGTTAGGCCTGTCCTGTAGTAGGTGACTTCTGGGAACTCTTCTGGCTCTATCAATCTGTTTCTTCACTTCCGCAGGTGGGTATTGTAGTTGTAAGAATGCTTGATAGAGATCTTGTAGGTGTTTGTCTGAGGGGTTGGAGCAAATGCGGTTATGGTACACCTTAGGCTTTCGGTTGGAGGTGGGGAATGCTATGAGATAATTCACAGCTCCCAGGCGCTCCTGGACCGTGAATGGCCCTTCCCACGATGCTTCCATTTTATGGGCCTGGAGCGCCTTTAAGACCATGACCTGGTCCCCTACTTTGATTTATCATACCAAGCTTTTTGCTCTTTTTGAGCATCCTGTAAGTTTTCTTTAGTAAGGGCTAAAGAGGTTCGGAGGGTGTTTTGTAGGTTGGTTACAAAGTCCAGAATGTTAGTTCCTGGAGAAGGTTTAAATCCCTCCCATTGCTGCTTCACCAACTGTAATGGCCCCTTAACCTCACGGCCATATACAAGTTCAAATGGGGAAAACCCTAAACTGGGATGTGGTACAGCTCTGTAGGCAAAGAGCAACTGCTGCAACACTAGGTCCCAATCATTGGAGTGCTCATTTACGAATTTACGTATCAGGCCCCCAAAGTTCCATTAAACTTCTCCACCATGCCATTTGTTTGATGGTGGTAAGGAGTGGCAACCAAGTGACTTACCCCATGAGCTTCCCAAAGGTTTTCCATAGTTAGTCCCTGCATCTGTGAGGATGTCAGAGGGCCAACCTACCCTTGCAAAAATGTCTGCTAGTGCCTGGCACACACTTTTAGCCCTGGTGTTGCTTAGAGCTACTGCTTCCAGCCATCGGGTGGCAAAATCCATGAAAGTCAGTATGTACTGCTTTCCTCTGGGTGTCTTTTTCGGAAAAGGACCCAGAATATCCACAGCTACTCGCTGAAATGGAACTTCAATGATGGGGAGTGGCTGGAGAGGGGCTTTGACCTGGTTTTGGGGTTTTCCCACTCTTTGGCATACTTCACAAGACCGGACATAGGTAGAAACATCCTTGCCCATTTCCTCCCAGTGGAATGACCCCCCCAAACGGTCTTTGGTCCTGTTCACCCCAGCATGGCCACTAGGGTGATCATGGGCTAAGCTCAAGAGCTTGGCCCGGTATTTAGTTGGAACTACCAACTGTCTCTGAAGATGTCAGTCTTCCTGGTGTCCACCAGAAAGAGTTTCCTTGTATAAAAGTCCTCTTTCTACAACAAACCTGGATCAATTAGAAGAGCTGAGAGGCGGTGGGTTGCTCCGTGCTGCCGTCCAAGCTCTCTGGAGGCTTTTCTGTGCTTCCTGTTCGGTCTGGAACTGTTCCCTTGATGCTGGAGACATCAGTTCCTCATTAGATTGTGGACCTATGTTTGGTCCCTCTGGAAGCGATGTAGGGGCTGGGGCTGTTTCCATTGACTGTGAACCACTTTCCACTGGTGCACTATGTTGGGGTTCAGGCTCCGGCTGAGCCTCTTTTGTGCTGGAAATGGCCCAACTTGATTATCATACACATTGTAAGGAGAGTGATCACTTTAGATAAGCTATTACCAGCAGGAGAGTGGGGTGGGAGGACGTATTTTTTCATGCTTTGTGTGTATATAAAAAGATCTTCCACACTTTCCACAGTATGCATCTGATGAAGTGAGCTGTAGCTCACGAAAGCTTATGCTCAAATAAATTGGTTAGTCTCTAAGGTGCCACAAGTACTCCTTTTCTTTTTATAGGAAAAGGGCATCCCAACCTTATTAGGGAGAGGAAATTCAGATAAGGAAAAGGGGATGAAACCCCTCCTGAATATGCATTAGGCATAGTGGGAGTCAGCATAACATATTATAAAAGTTGTATCCCGGCCTATGGGTCTTGGGAGATGCCAGAATGACTACCACTGGTGGTGGTGATGATGATGGTGAGGATGATAACTAACACTTCGGGTTATTCTGCAAAGGAGGGTGAGAGTATATGGATGCTTAGACATGGGATGTTTTGACCATTATAAATTATATGTCTACTTTGCTGGGTTGGAGTGTCTGATTTTGCTAATGGTGGTAATAAAAATATTACAAGGGCAGAATGCCTTTCCTAAATGTAATTACCTCCTTTGTGCACACCAGGGTCTTCCTAATAATATTAATATTTCTGGATCTGGTCACAAGGCAGAACCCTGCCAAAACTACAGAATGCTAACTGGGAATGAATAGATAAGGGATAGATCAGGCAACAACTTGCATTTCTTTACTAACATTTAGATAGTTACTAACAACCAAACAGCTCTAAAGAAGAATAAAACATAGCTTCACTTGCCAGAAATCCATTTGAGTGACTCATAGCAATCAAGTTTCATTTTTATTTTGCATGTATTGCTGCTTCTGCATTGTTTAGCCAATTATATAAACCTAATTGAGCCTGAACTACTTAATGGTGTCCATTTAATAGGTATCCTAATTTAAAATCTTCCACTGTCCTAAAACTTGTAATATAATCCTCCTCCGCTTTGACTAGTGAACAACAAAATATAGTTGTGTTTTCTCTCATTGTCCTTTAACACTAATTGCCAGGAGTGTAACAGCATTAATAAATATTGTCTTGTT